AAGATGCCATGTGGGTGCCCTGTCTGGTGTCCGTCCCTGGCCTCAACGTCACGCTGCGCTCGGTACGGTTACACCCCCGGCCCCACCCCCACCCCGGGATCCGGCCCTCCAGTCCCACCCCTGGGAAAGGCAGCTGCCCGTCTGGCCAGGAGCAAGGGGGCAGCTGGTCACTGATGGTGGCCTTGTCCCTCCAGCAAAGCTCGGTGCTGTGGCCAGACGGGCAGGAGGTGGTGTGGGATGACCGGCGGGGCATGCGGGTGTCCACGCCGCTGCTGCGTGAGGCCCTGTACCTGCAGTGTGAGACCACCTGGGGGGACCAGGACTTCCTTTCCAACCCCTTCCTCGTGCACATCACAGGTAACTGGGCTGTGTTCCATTCACAGTAGCGGGGCTGTCACTGCCTCGCTGGCCTCAGTGGGCGTCGTCCTGTGAGGGCGTGGGAATCACTGTGCGTGTGTCAACAGGCAACGAGCTCTATGACATCCAGCTGTTGCCCAAGAAGTCGCTGGAGCTGCTGGTAGGGGAGAAGCTGGTCCTGAACTGCACCGTGTGGGCTGAGTTCAACTCGGGTGTCACCTTCGACTGGGACTACCCGGGGAAGCAGGTGAGGTCAGCAGCCCTGCCAGGCTGTCCGGTCCCCAGGAGTCCCTGCCACTGTCCAGCACACACTGAGCCTCTGTGCGGAGGATGTGCGGACCCAGGCCTGCCCCAGGTGCCCCAGTCTGACGGGCAAGTGTTCCACCCAAAGACGACTCAGGGCCTGGGTCCAAGGCTTCTGGAGCCGCCGCTGGCCGGGCTGGGAGGGGTGCCTTTGGTGGGGTAGCTGTGCAGGAACCCGCTGCTGACGCGGGGCTTCCCTGGGTGCGGGCAGGCAGAGCGGGGTAAGTGGGTGCCCGAGCGACGCTCCCAGCAGACCCACACAGAGCTCTCCAGCATCCTGACCATCCACAACGTCAGCCAGCACGACCTGGGCTCGTACGTGTGCGAGGCCAACAACGGCATCCAGCGGTTTCGGGAGAGCACCGAGGTCATTGTGCATGGTATGGCATGGGTGGGTCAGGGTCAGGCGCCATCAAGCCTGGGAAACAAGGGTCCTTGTGCCATGTGGGCCTGGGCCCAGAGCTCACGGTGCACGTGAGCATTCGGGAGTCCAGCCAGAGGGAAGGGAGGGCCATGAGCGGAGCAGCTGCCCAGCTCCTGCACCAGCCCAGCTCCTGCATGGCCAGCCCCAGTCTACAGGTGTCTGGCTGCTGGGGCTGCAGGGGCCATGGGGGGAATCCCTGGTCAGTCAACCACGGGTCAGTCCTGGATTTACACTGACTTCTCCTGTCTGGCAGAAAAGCCCTTCATCAGCGTCTGTCTCTTATACACATCTAGATGTGTATAAGAGACAGCCCCCCAATCCTAGCAGGAGGCCAAGGCTGCTGGGGGTGCACACGCAGCCCAGAGGGAGGCCGCAGCTCCTAAAGCAGGAGAGAGGGAGAGGCCGGGCAGAGACGCCTCCTGGGGCAGAATGGGACTGTGCTGCCCCTGCAGCCATGTGGGCAGATCCAAGGTGGCCTCTGCAGGAAGGAGCAAGAGAAGCGGGACAGGGTGCACACGTGCGCGAGGGACAGTGGACACAGGAAGGTGGTGTCGGCAGCCTGTGTAGGACGGTTGCCGGGTCCTGACCCTGAAGTGTGGGAGACAGAGCTCCAGAAACAGGCTGGGCACGGTGGCTCACGCCTATAATCCCAGCGTATTGGGAGGCCAAGGCCGGCGGATCACCTGAGGTCGGGGGTTTGAGACCAGCTGACCAACATGGAGAAACCCTGTCTCTACTAAAAATACAAAAAAATTAGATGGGCGTGGTGGCACACGCCTGTAATCCCAGCTACTTGGGAGGCTGAGGCAGGAGAATCGCTTGAACCTAGGAGGCGGAGGTTTCAGTGAGCCGAAAT